GCTGGAGTTTGTACAGTGCGTACTCGTTCACTGCTCTCAGGCTGCCTGTCTGCATCTGGCTGCCTTATTTTCCCTTTCAGAGTGACTCAGACGTGCTGTCTGGATGATAGTTTGGTTATGAATGTTTCAGGGTCACTGGGCTCTCACAGACTGGCGGCCCCAAACAATACACAACTCCTGCACCTGATTTTTTTTTTTTTTTCTTTCCCGGGTTTCTTTGAACTGACGAGAGTCGTCAATGAAAACAAAGGCATCCAGCAACCTTGAGGCCTTGGTTTGAACTTGGTTGCTGTTTTTGTTTAGCTGTTGATGCAAAATGAAAAACGGAAGCGCCCCCGTATGTGAAAACACACGCAAAATAAAGATGACATTTAATCCTCAAACAGACGGGGCTGGGTGATTCCTCTCTGACTTCCTTTGCTGTTAAGGTTTCTGTGCTTATTTGACCTTTGCTTTGTGGGCCAATATCCTCACTTAACTCCAGGTATAACTGGATGTGGAAGCATTATGAGATGGGCTCATATTCTGGGTTTGCTTTATTGTGTGAACCATCTGGAACACCTGTGGAATGCATTATGTGTTGGTTTATTGGTGGTTTTTAGTCATGAAGGCCACACCAGTCCTTTTCTTCTTTATTGAAGGCATATAAAAGGCTTCTTCCAATAGGTGTCCAGTTGCATTTAAGTGCAAACCGTAACCACCGTTGTGGTGAAGAGAGAGCTGAGCCAAAAACAAAGCCCTCGATTTACCGGTTGATCTACGTTCCTACTAGCCTCGTGAGACCATCCTGATTTCACGAGCTTTCAAGGTTTCACTCGCAGATCAGTCTGGAGACTCTCCGTTAAAGAAAATTTGGAGCCGTTCACCAAACGAACGTCCAATCAGCGTTGGCTTTGAGGCGGGTTGAGGTGTGACGCAACGAGAAGCACGACAGTTCAGTCTAAAGAATATAGCAGCTTCAGCCGATGAAACTAGCGTTAGCGTGGCTATCGAGCAAGTTTTATCGGAATTACAGAGTATTTCTTCACTGAAAGAAGAGCAAAACACTGCTCTGGAGGCTTTTCTCAGAGAAAAAGATGTTTTTGCTCTTCTCCTGACTGGTTTCGGCAAGAGTAGCCTGGCTTGTGGTTGGGTTTTCGTCGTCTGTCTGTTAGTACTTCATATGCTTCGTTGATCTGATTGGTTTATTTGGCCCGTCTATCACCAACATAGGCCAATCAGCTAACCAGTATTTTCGCCCCTTCCCAAAATTACTTCAACGGAAGGTTTCCAGATGGATATGCGGAGCAAATCCATCTGGCAGAGTCAGGTTACGTTCCTACCCTCATCTACGGTCATTAGCTTTGGGTCATGACCGAAAGAAGGAGATCCCGGATACAAGCAGCTGAAATGAGTTTTCTCTGTAGTGTGTCTGGGCTCTCCCTTAGAGATAGGGTGAGGAGCTCAGTCATCCGGGGAGGACTCAGAGAGCCACTACTCCTCCACATCGAGAGGAGCCAGTTGAGGTGGCTCGGGCATCTGATTAGAATGCCTCCTGGACGTTTCCTTGGTGAGGTGTTCCAGGCACGTCCCACCGGGAGGAGGCCCAGGGGGAGACCCAGGACACGCTGGAGGGACTGTTTTTCGGCTGGCCTGGGATTCCCCCGGAGGAGCTGGCCCAAGAGGCTGAGAAGAGGGACGTCTGGGCCTCCCTACTGAAGCTGCTACCCCCACGACCCGACGCTGGATAAGCGGAAGAAGATGTAGAGACGTTGCACCCCCTCCGCAGACACTCTGGTGCACCTCTTCCAAATTGTAGGTAACCACAGACAGTGCCGCAGACAGGAGGCCTCTGATTTGTAAAATCTAGATCTGTTCTACACTATGCATATCTCTTGTTCGGTACCTTGCCGGCTTGTTTTGTTTGCACGTCCACAATTGCAGAAAACGACTCGTAAGGATGGACCAGCTAGAAGAACGAGGTGCGCGAAAACGCTGGGACCCTTTTTCCACCTGGATCCCTGCTCTTTTTCACCCTCATGTCCCTCCGTTGTCGGACAAACTTGCCCCCATTTCCTCACCGCCTAGCTAGACCCACAGCTATTTCGTCATTTTCTCCTTTTGCGTTGTGGCATAGAACAGCGCAGAACACACTTCAATACTGAGCATAAATCAAAAATGTCTGCTTCATACCTGCGACAAGCTCACTGCGAAGCTTTGCTGCGGAAGCATAATCAGCCCATTAGTCCTTGCCAGTGTGACGCTGGGGTGGTGCCTTTCTCCGAAAGTCAAAGGGCGAGAGGCGGGGTTCGCCCTAAACAGGTCGCCACTATGTCGCAGGGCAACACAGAGACACACAAAGATACACAACCATGCACTCACACCTAAAAACAATTTAGAGAAGCCAATTAACCTAAAAGTCATGTTTTTGGACTGTGGAAAGAAGCCATAGAAACCCAAGAGAGAACCCATGCATGCACGGGGAGAAAATGCAAACTCTATGCAGAAAGAATCACACCCACAACCTTCTTGCTGCAAGGCATCAGTGCTACCCACTGCTTCACTGTGCAGTCCCTGTTTATTTTCATAGAATTTTTATTTGTTATTAGTATTGTTTTCTTGCATTAAATGAGGGGTTCCAACTATTTTGTCTGTCTATGTTCAAGCTCTAAGTTACAGGTATTTATTATCTAAAATGAAGTTAAAGTCAGATATCATTTGGCCTCCGTACAACTCGGATCAAACAAGCATTGCCTGCCTTCACCTTTGCCTCAAGGGTCCTAAACGACCCTTTCTGCAGCTTGTACACGTGTCTCTCAGTCAACATGCCTGAAACAAATAGTTGGATCATTAGCAGGACTTTGTAGAAGCTCACTGAATGCTGAGTGGACAATTCGGCCGATTGATTCAGATGTGTTGATTGAAAGGCAAAGTAAAAGTTGCAGGAAACTGGTCCTCCAGGACTGGAGTTTGACATCTGTAACAGATTTGTTTCTTCAAATGCAACAACCTAGAAACAGAATGCTATACCAAGCAGTGCTTCCAGATACTTTATTCCATGCTTTCATGTAGAACTTGTAATTTTATAAGAGGTGTGACAGAAGAAGTGTGCAACTTTAGGGAAGTCTGCTTAGTGATGCAGTGGTTTCTTGTGTCGCCTCAGTAACCAGGTCCTGGAGCCTCTTAGTGTGAGGATTTTGCACTCTCTCTTCCATTGAATCTTTAATTCTTTTCCAGCTTCCTCCCACAGTCTGAAAACATGAAAGTTAGTCATCCCTCAGTTGTTTTAAGGTGTGAATTTGAATGAGCACTGGCGTTTGTTGTTTATGTCTCTGAAATGGACTGGTAAGCAGCGTTCTGCCTCCAACCCAACGATGTCTGAGAAAGGCTTCAGGATTAGAACGCTGCAAACTTCATGGTATAGAACAGGGGTAACCAATTAAAAATCTGCAGGGTCCAAATAAAGAAAATCAAGGCTTTAAACCTGGGTTTAAATGGAGACTAAGCCATTTTTAACTCATTTTGAGCCTGGATCCAGATTTATTTTTGATTCTGTTCATGGTGGAGAATCCTGCTTCACAGCAGCAGGTTGAGCCAAACATCCTCTAAATACTTTCCCATTGTGTTTTTATCTTTTGTATGGTGACCTTAAGTGTTCAGAAAGGCACCTTTGAAATATAATGTATTATTATTATTATTATTAAAATGTGCAGGGTCATCTTTGAGCACGCCATTTCACTTTTCTTTCACCAGTTCACCGCAGTTCTTCCAGCAGTCCACACTTTCTCTGCTCTCTTTTTCTCATCGTCTCCTTCTTTCCCATCGCCCGGCTTGCCACAGGTTTGCCTGCTGTGTCTAAAAGTAGCAGCAGCAGCAACCCAGACTGACAGCAGCTCATTGGCTCATTTGGATCACGTGCAGCCTGGAGCCGGATGCTCCGGAGGGCTTTACCGTATTAACAGGAGAAGCGGCACAAGTGAAATTAGAAACTGTCGTTGGACAACATGCAGTTTTCATAAATGTTTTAAATCAGGTTGGGTCCAGTCTGGGTCTCTCTACTGAAGCTGCTACCCCCTGCGACTCGACCCCGGATAAGCGGAAGAAGATGGATGGATGGATGGATGGATGGATGAGTTCAGAGGAATAAGTTCAGACAAAGCAAATTAACGTAACACATCAAAATCCAGGTTAAACTCTCGATACTCGCAGTTAGTGAATTTACAGGGATCTTCCTTCAAGTGTTTCTCTGAGATTCTCTGCATGTATCAGCTGTATAGTGGAAATTCTTCAAACTCAACCAAAACAAATCGTGTGAAACTAAAATGGCAACATGACCTTCAGCATGTAAACTGTTCTTTCTTTTCTTTCTTTTTCTGCTTGCTCAGGGTTTTTTAACGACCCACAAAACAGGTTTCTGGAGCATGACACAGCAGGATGGAGTGATATTGCCATCTCTGCATGCAACAAACCATCTCAGACCTCAGACCCCCCCCCCTGTTTTAGTCCTGATTTTATCTGTTTGAAGATGAATAAAAGCTGAACTTTAAGGCAAAGATCTGAAACGTTAACAATAAAGACAGGTCTAGTCTACAGCGGCTGTTTCTTCTTTGATTTTTAGGTTGTAAAAAGGCTTTCTTGATTCTTCTGATCTTAAATCTACATCAAGGTTTCTCTGTTTTGGGGGTAAAATAAATTTAATCTCTTTAATAACATACTATGAAAGCATGTGTATAAAACCTGAAACTTTTTTTGTTAAATAAGTTTCTGCAGGAGGGGCAGGGTGCGGGCACAGTGGTCTGTACTCATCCTTTGAACTGGTGAATAATTAGTTTAAAGACAAATGAGATACATAACCTTAAAGAAGCTGTTTTGCTGTAAAAAGAGAGAAAAAAGAGAAATCTCTCCTCAAATCACATTTGTCCACTTGACTTCCCTGAAAGTTCCCCCGATTAAGGAATCTCCCTTAATTTCCGCACTAAGCTGTACTTTCAGTTTCCGCTTTCCTCTGTATGCTGTTGCAGGTTTTCCCCTGGCGTGGCCAACGATCCATCTCCCTCCACCGGACCAATGAAGAGGCGCACACAGTCGCTCAGCGCCCTGCCCAAAGATGGAGACAGGAAGGTGAGTCGTATATTCAGACCCTCAGCAGTTCTATATAGAACATACAGCAGGAATATTAGCAAAGTTTCAGGCTACAATCAGACATTTTTGTCTTTGCTTCTCTGCTAAGCTGCTGAAGCTCAATCAGATGCCACAGATTCTCTGCCCGATTTGTGTCTCGAATTTGACTAGACCTTTTAAACAAGCAAATGCAAAACATATAAGTGGCTGCGTGACTCTACTGCTTGAAGGAAAACCTCGGACCCAGTCTCTGTTTGCGTCTTATTGGTTTTCTGCTGCTATTTCGAGTTTGACGTGCTGCACTTTGACCATTTTTCCCATCCCATTCAAAAAAAAGTTAAAGAACAATCCACTGGACTTAGTTTCCAAGTTTAAAGACGTTTCGCCTCCCATCCAGGAAGCTTTTTCAATTCAAAATTCCAGAAATAGCGTTGAGTTCGAGGATATATACAGTAGCCCAACAATATAGCCTCGAACTCAACGCTATTCCTGACATTTTAAAATGTTGCCATTGTCTGGCTTCAGGTGAACTGCCTGTGGCATCACACTGAAGGCATCACACTCAACACAACAGTAAACACTGAGAAATAGGTGTTATGACTCAAGCGCATAACAGAAGTTACTTTTCCTGTCGGCCGCTGCTGTTTGTGAAACCCATAAATTAAAGGAGAGTAAAACTCTTTATTGTGGCATTTTAGGGAGATCTGATGCCATTTCAGCTCGGTGGACACAGCCAGGAACGATGGGACAGGGATGTCATCTTCTTCAGAGACTGAGATTAGTCAGAACTTTATGGTGCAGATGGCAACTTTTAATCATATATGTCAGCGCCTCTCCTCTAAAGGCAGTAGACTTGATGCAATCCAGTGTATCAGAGTGCAACAGGGAGGGCTCATCACATGCTTGCTAACCTCGATTGCACTTTAAAGTCTTCTGATTGAAGGGCTGTATTAGATTTTACAGTAGAAACTATGTCCCACATCCTTTGAGTGTTTCAAATAGGCTTGAATACTTTTTCATGTAGCTCTAACAACTGTCTGTCCACTATTAGTACTGTTCTAGCCTCCTGTCTGTTATGCTAACTGTCACCTTTTCCTGCTGCGATGTGCAATGTTGTGACGAATGCACTGGAAAGTGACGTCAAAGTGACATCAGTCGTTCCCACTGGAGTCATGCTGGCGGGCAAAAAAGCTAAAAAACACAGAAAAAACTAATTTCCTGTGTTATTGTTACCAAATACTTACTTTAGGTATGAGTCCTTATCTTTAAACAATCATAACCAGTTCCGTAAAAACAAAAACACAATCAAAAAATATCTGTTCCAACCTCAATAACTCAGACTAGCTAAAGCTACATGTTCATTTGCTCAGGTTATACCGTATTTTCGCGACTATAAGGCGCATATAAACCTCTTTTTTTCCCTCAAAATGTGCGGCGCGCCCTATGTGTGTTGTTACTTGAGACCGCCATGAGAACGTTAAAGGGGGAAGTGTGGGCGTGGATTGGCTGCCACGCAAATGGACAGAAACTGCCGCCTATGTTGATTTTTAAGAGAAAGACTTTGCCTAAATAGACTTTTCCAGCTGGAGTCGTTATTAAAGGAATAGTACACCCAAAACATGATTAGCCTTCATTTTCTACTCACCCCCATGCTGAACAACACTCTGGAGTACTTTTTTGATATCTCAAATGCATCTGGAGATCTGGGAGGCTTCTTGCTGTCTGCTGACATTCAAATAATGGAGGTCTATGGCGCCCGAGATAGAAAGGTCCATAAAAGTCCACAAAAAACGTGTCAATATTCCTCCATACTGCTCGTCCAATGTATTTCAAGTGTCCTGAGTGGGTAGCATCCATAATTTACTCGAAACAAAGTCATTTGGAATGTTTTTAGAGCATAAACAGTAGTGTATAGGATTTCCTGAAAGCGCGTTCAGGAGTCTACGGAAACCGCGGCAGACCAAACCAGATGAAAGTGCGCATTCAGCTCGGCAAAGAACTCATGCTCTTCCTCAACACTGAAGTCCTCAGACATTTTTCTTTCGTTGTTTCTTTCTTTGCACAGGTAAACAGCACATTTCTTCTTCTACGCTTGCATTATCAGCAGAGCAGACGCCGAATGCGCACTTTCATCTGGTTTGGTCTGACGGCTTCCGTAGGCTCGTGACCGCGCAGGCTTGCGCTTTCAGGAAATCCTATACACTACTGTTTATGCTCTAAAAACATTCTAAATGACTTTGTTTCGAGTAAATTCTGGATGCTACCCACTCAGGACACTTGGAATACATTGGACGAGCAGTATGGAGGAATATTGACACGTTTTTTGTGGACTTTTATGGACCTTTCTGTCTCGGGCGCCATAGACCTCCATTATTTGAATGTCAGCAGACAGCATGTCATGGATGAGGAGATGATGAAAGCGTGGCTGAGGGAGGAGTATGTGAGGAGACCAGGTGGTTTTTTCCACGCATCACCATCGCTGTTAATCTGTGACTCCATGCGTGCCCATCTCACAGCCAATGTGAAAAACATGGTGAAACAAATGAACGCTGTGCTCGCTGTTATCCCGGGAGGTCTGACAAAGGAACTTCAACCGCTCAACATCGGTTTGAACCGGCCGTTCAAAGTAAGGCTGCGAGCGGCGTGGGAGCGATGGATGACCGACGGAGACCACAGTTTCACGAAAAGTGGAAGGCAGCGCCGGCCAAGTTACGCCACAGTTTGCGGATGGATTGTAGATGCTTGGGCTAAAGTGTCTGCTGGCTCTGTTGATCGAGCTTTCGCAAAAGCCGGCATTATTTCTGAGGAGCCGCGCTGCACGGAAAGTGACTCTGACAGCGAAGAAGGGGAAATTGGCATGTCTGATTTAGCGCAGCTGTTTAATTCAGAAACAGAGGATGATGACTTTGATGGGTTTGATTAATACTTTGTAATAAATACTTGAATAAAGCACAATCATACTCAGTTTTGCTCCCGCTCTATTTTTAAATACGCAGTAGAGGTATTTAAATGTAGTAGAGGATATGTACCGATATTTAAAACCTGCGCCCTATAATCCGGTGCGCCTTATGTGTGTGTTAAATACAGTAATGGTACACATAACTGCGCCTTATAGTCGTGAAAATACGGTAAAATCAGAGGGTTACGTTGAGACAGACCAGGCTTTTCCATGTGCTCCCAATGAAGTGTCGACTGCTGGGCCGGACCTCAGCAGAGAGCCATGAACCGCCCGTCCTCAGCTGGAGGAGGGGGGCTGGTTAGGCAGGCAGGGGGAAGCACGGGGCCCCCGGTGTCCAGGCTACCATCACCGGGTCAGATTCGGTCGTTCCGTCCCCCGCTGTCTCCCTGCCCCTGTCCACCAGGGTTCCCAGACCAGCCCCGGAGCTGATGACTCGGTTCGAGTGCCCGGTGTGTTTCGACTACGTGCTGCACTGTAGTCGACCAAAATCCTGGACGATTTTCAAATTCCCCCGGAAATTTTTTAGGTTTGAAAAGTAGGTAAAAACAGAACGTCTGGTCACCCTACCATATCAACAATTTGATGTTTCAGTGAGTCAGTGCTTGTTGCTATGATGCGTCTTTGCTCAGCAGCTTCGCTCGTTGTAAACCAACCAATCAGAGCACAGCTCATCTAAATATTGATGATCATACCCTAAAAGGAAGGAAACCTGTCGTTTCATTCTAGGGATTTTAACCAGGCTGCATTAGGGCTCATAGAACAGCTAATATGCCATTTTCAGCCCAACCAATGTTACACAGCCTATTCAGAGACCTTAAGAACCAGATACCCGATAGAATCATTCTATCACCCCTTTAACACTTTCCTGAAGGAGGCAGCTTACACTGGATCATTGGATTATTTGAGTTGTGTTTCTATGCTGGTCTGTAATAAACTCTCCATCACTGTGTGGTAGAAGAGAAGAACGATCTTTTCGTTCACTGCCTCGACTCTAAATCTGAGGACGGTGGATGAATATAAAATTCTCCAGGTTGTAAATAAACCGCAGACAGATATAAGACGCACCCAACACCGGCCTGTCCAGACTTCTAGTTTTCCGCTTGTCATAAGATCCGCTTATTATCTACAAGGAACATTTATGAATATTGGTGCTCAATTAAGACAATGAAAGAGAAGTTTAAGGCATCGGTTTTGTCGCTACCAGGAAGTATGTAGCTGTCGTACAGAAGTCTAACCCTTAACTTCCTTCTTCAGTTTAAATTGAAGCATCGTCAGCATTTTTAAAAAAGATGAGGAGAGTTTTAAAATCTGACAATATTATCTGACTTAGTTATCGGCACCTGTGAACAGAGTACATGTCCGAAACCTCATCGTATGCTTTTTTTTCCTCTCTAATTCCAACCAGAGGGAGAAGGACCACATCCGTCGTCCCATGAACGCCTTCATGATCTTCAGTAAACGCCACCGAGCTCTGGTGCACCAGCGACATCCCAACCAGGACAACCGCACCGTCAGCAAGATCCTTGGGGAGTGGTGGTATGCTCTGGGAGCCAACGAGAAGCAGCAGTACCACGACCTGGCCTTTCAGGTTACCACAGAAACCCTCTATTGTGTTAGGTCTATCTCTACCTCCCAGTCGGCCTCAGCAGATGGCCGCTCACGCTAAGCCTGGTTCTGCTGGAGGTTTCTTCCTGTTAAAAGGGAGTTTTTCCTCTCCACTTTCGCTACAAGCACACTTAGTGTGTGGGATTGCTGAAGAGTCAATGAGTCGATGCAATCAGCTGGTTTTCCTTAGATAAAAAACTTGAAAATTTGACTGGATCATCTGATTAAATTAAAGTGCCTTGAGATGACGTGTTGTCTGGGGGGGATTTTTACCATTAGGTAATACTAGGCAGCTGCCTAGGGCCCCGAGTTCCTGGGGGCCCCATAAAACTCTGTTTCCATGTATGGTTAATACAACTATTCCTTATTTGTTCACATTAATTGTGTTTTGGACAAAAATGCCATCAGAACACTGATAATATTAAGTGTGTCTCAGCCCCCCCCTTCAGTGTCCACCATACTGGATCAGTCCATTTGCTGCACATGTTTTTAGAAAGGTCCAAACAGACAGCAGCAAACCATTTGAAAACAAACCATGCAAAGAGCAGTGTTGCTAACTTAGCGCTTTAGAGTATTAGGGACAGGTTAAAGATTTTATTTTTTTTTTTTTTTGAGAATAAAGTCGGAATATTATGAGAAAAAAGTTGCAACGAGAATAGTCATAAAGTTACAAGGATAAAGTCGTAAAATTACAAGAATAACTTTGTCATTTTGTATACACAGACTGTATTTAAAACAAAATTTTGTTTAGTACAGCTTTCCAAACAGTAAACATTTTCATTCCATAAAATTCAGCAGTGATCACATGTAACTAAGTCATAAAACAAATCTAGCGAAAAATAGAACAAATAATGTATGTCTATTCTATTAACATTTCTCTATCTGTAGAATGGGTCTGTTTTATGTGTTGGCTTCCCCATTCAGAGGGCCCCCTGCCTGTCTTTGCCTAGGGCCCTGAATTTCCTAAATGTGCCCCTGCGTGTTGTAAATTGGCGTTATATAAATAACCTCTCAAAACCGTTTTAAAGCGTTTAAAAATAATAACTCTGCTTGAAAATTACACTGATAAAATGTTTACCAATATAGATGTTAGACATCGTTGGAAAGCTTAGATTCTCCACAATTCAACCACCTAGTTCATTTTTTGGAGACAGTGAGCACCAAAGCACAATTAAAACAGATATAGCAGCATTTCGAAATGTAACATGACAAGCAGCCACTACAAGCAAGCATGTCTTTATAACTGCTGTTCAAAAAAGAGCTATTATTTTCGAGAATAAAAAAAAAAAACAACTTTGAGTGTTGCTTGATCTGATGCAGCTTGGGTGTTTTACTCACCCAATTTTCATGTATATATTCAGAAACTAGAAGGTGTTAGCTTTAAAATAATGTATCTCACATGTAATTTGGGCTTACAGTTCCTAAGTTATTTACTTTTCCATTTGGGTATGCAAAATAGGCAAGAATTTCTCAAAATGAGGTGGATATTAAGAGGATAAACTGAATTGAACTGAATAGGTAGAGGTCACCATGACACTGCTAGGACTCTGAACAGGACATATCTAACTGTTAAACTATAAAAGTCTGGAATCATCCCAGATCTCAGAAATTTTTTTTTTTTACTTAAAGGCATCCAGACTTGCTTATAGTCATTAAGAGTAGATATTTAATGTTTTCTTTGCACTTAAGCTACTGTTTTGCTCCCTTTCAGTCCAGTTACCAGAGAAATGCTCATTTTCTTCTTTAGAAAAATATTTTTCTTCCTGTTGGACTCTATAAAAAGCAAAGCAATAATAAAACAGTTTGGCAGCGCAAAGTGGGATTTTTAAGACTAACACAATATCCTGTAAGATAAAAGCAAAGGACTCCAAAATTATGGGAAAGTCTGGATCCCAGGATGTAAAGATTCAGAGATATTAAAGCTTCTTTAGAACCTTTTCACAATTTTTTTTTTTTTGGTGCCTTGTTAAGGAGTTTCTGCTTCACATTGTCCTTAAAGTCCATCTCCCCCCCCCACCATGCAGGTGAAAGAGGCCCACTTCAGAGCCCACCCTGACTGGAAGTGGTGCAACAAAGACCGCAGGAAGTCTCTGTCTGAGGGCCGCGGCACCCCGAAGGAGCTGAGGGAGAGGAGCATGTC